CTCAATCCCCTCATCCGGGTCATTGATAGAACTGGGCCCAGTACTGAGCTCTGGGGAACAAACAGCACTTGTGACTGGCCAACAACTGGGTTTAACTCCATTCACCACCACTCTTTGGGCCTGGCCATCCAGCCGGTTATTGCTCAGTGGTGTGCCCATCCAAGCCACGAGCAGTTGGTTTCTCCAGGAGAATGCTGTGGCAAATGGTGTCAGAGGCTTTACTAAAGTCCAGGTAGACAACACTGACAGCCTTTCCCTCGTCCACTAAGCAAGTCACCTTGTCATAGAAGGAGATCAGGTCAGACAAGCAGGGCCTGCCATTCATGGCTTCTGCACATGTCCTGTGATCTGACATCTGGTAGAGCCTTCTTAAGAGTAGTGCTCAAGGTGTCTTTGATGCACCTGGTCTTTATCCTTCTGTCTGTAAAACTGAAGAACCAGCAGCATTCCTGTTCTCCAGCAGGACACTGAAACAAGCAAACAAACCCACCCCAGATAACCCTGTATTTGCTTTACATAGCCACTTTTTACATAGTTCTTCCATTCTTCTCTCTCTTTTTTTTTTTTTCTTTAGCTAACACCAAATCTCTTCCTGAAGCAAATGCTTGAGAGGTATCAGAAATCAGAGACGGACAATAACAATGACAAATTGATGACCGATGGGGTCACAAAAACATGGGATAAACTCATGCTTCAGGTAATAACAACACTGAAAACTCTCACTAATTACTAAATGCTCTGCAGCCCTGGAATTTCAAGTCCTTCTTGGGGCCACTTGGTAATAAAGAGGATGGCATCTGCCTTGAACCTTAGAAAAAGCCCTGCCACACTCCCCATTTTGCTCGTTTATCAGATGGCAGACTGTCAAAGGCAGGCACTTCAAAAATCTCCCCCATAAATCTGTGGTTAATGCCTAACCAGACGTGTGCAGGGTCCAGACGTGTGCAGGGCTGTGACCTGGGCCCATACAGACCTTTCCTTTCTCTTGCCCTGCAGAAGCACTGCTGCGGGGTGCAAGGCCCCTCCGACTGGCAGGAGTACACGTCCGCCTTCCGCGTCATGCACAGCGATGCTGACTTCCCTTGGCCACGCAATTGCTGTGTCATGGATGCCCGAGGGTTGCCTGTCAACCTTGATGGCTGCAAGCTGGGAGTCCCTGGCTACTATAACAGCAACGTAAGATCCTCTTTGTTTTTTCCAGTTAACATACATTGGTCAGAAGTGCCTCGCTGGAAGGGAAGTAAACGGTGAATAGCATTCCTCCTCCACTGCAAGCTACAGGTGTTCCAAAGCTTTCTGAGGGAAAAGCAATGCTTGTAAGGTCCTGGACATGTCAGGATAGGTTGCAATAAAGGCGTTCCTGATGGAGAGAGAACTATTAAGAAAACTGTCCCAATGTCACCAGTAAGAAGTGACATCTCCAACGTGTAGATGGACAGTAGCTCAATCAAACTTAGCCCGAAGTTCAGCACATACAATGAGTGAGCAAGTCAGCAGTTCTTCTCAAGGCAGAACTTTTTTCAGTCGACCAGCTTGTTTTAGTCAAACAGAACAATGTTCTATTCTGGGCCATCAGAATCAACTTCTGCCCTGGCAAGCATTTCTAGAGGCGTTGAAGGTTCTAAATTTGCCTGCAGTTTCTGGATCCTGGAGGTCAGTTCTGTGTTGCCCATGTTTGGTTATGCACGTATACTTGGCAAGCGGATGACACAGGAAGTTTTCCTTGTGTCTGAGATGGGTCTACTTTGTGTGTGGAGCTGGAAATAAGTAGTCTATCTGCAAGTTGTCGATAAGTGGTGTAGCTCTGGCTCGTCTTCTTGAGACGCTGTGAGCTACCCAAGCTGCAGCAGGAGAGGAGTGTGCCACCTCAGCCTCTCCCAAAGGTGGATAAGCTTGTCGCCTTGGGGCACAAGCTCAAAGCTGGTTGTGATTTATTTATGGTTGTCTTACAGGGTTGTTATGATGCTATCTCCGGGCCAATGAACACACATGCCTGGGGTGTTGCCTGGTTTGGTTTTGCCATCCTTTGCTGGACTGTGAGTACTTAATATTTGCCTTTATTTCCTCTTCTCTTTTCTTGCTATTCCACACCCAGAAGGGTGGAGGTGGATGGCAGGACTGACGCATTTAAAATGTCTGTAAATTATAGTTATTCATTCATCACAAATCTGCGTGTAGCCTGTTCCGTGAACAGGACTACATTTGCAAGTTCCCCTTCATTCTAGCTTCCACAGGTGAGGACGTAGATGGCCTTCCAGCCTGCTGTGGCCTGCTGCCAATCTCAGCAATACAACACAGCAAACACAGCTTGCAGATACTTGTTTGTGAAGGGTATTGGATCATGTAAACAGTCATCACGGGAAATAATTCTGTTTCTATTCTGAAGACTTTATATGAGTGTTTTAAGTACTCAGGGTTCAGCATCTTTGTGACAGATAATCCCCAGCGAGCTGAGTGATCCAGTCAAATAGTTATGGCTGCACATATCTTCTTTCTTCACTCCGAAGCTTTTGTGCAGATAAAAACTTTTAATCTTCCTCTGCCTGAACTGACTTTGCTTATCAAGAATTTCTGTTACTTTCTCCTACCAGCAGGACTAAGTGGGGCTGGGGGAGGGGTGGGGAGAAGGAAATGGGGAGCAGAGAAACTTAGTAGTCTTGTTGTTTCAGTTTTGTGTCCTCCTTGGTACCATGTTCTACTGGAGCAGAATTGAATACTGAAGGCCCAGTGTCCTCAACGCTGTCCTGGAGCATCGTGTGAAAGTGCATTTGTTCACCTCCTGCTCCATTCTTCTTGTTCCATGGAGGATTTGAAGTTTTCCCACTACCTCTCCAATAGATAGTTTTACCCCTCCAAAAACTTGACAGAGCTGATGACTCCAGAAAAGAATCTTCTTGTCCCTTCTTTGCCCCTTGTTCGCTGTCCAAGAAATCCTTGGAGTAGAAGATAAGTGATCTGATTTGTTCTGTGATGACAGCAGAAAGGAAAATGTCCATATACACTTGCTCCAGAAAAATGTTTCTCTAAAACTAGGTTGAATGTAAATCATAATACTAAAGGCTCTGGCAAGGGCTATGTGAGATAAACTGTAACGCCCTGTGACCAATAAAGACGGATGCTGCAAGGGAGAAGACTGCAGACCTCTCTAATATATTTCATGGTTCATCTCCTGTTCCTGGTCTCTGTCACCCCTTGCCTTAGAATAAGGCAGATTCTTTAAAAGTTTAAATGTATCAGCAGTAAAGTCATGTTACAGATAAAGAGTCTGTTGCTAGTCAAGCCCAATAAAAGGCTAGCTCACTCCTCAGCAATACGCTGCCTGTGTTCAAGCCTACCTCCTGCCACTGATGCAACTGCTGCACGCACGCCTGTCTTCGGAAGTGCCAGTCCACAAAACGCTCCTCTTGCTAACAAGCGACTCCTTCAAAAAAGCTGTTATGTACTTCACACAAGATTCCACGCACCTAGAGGCTAGAATTTGTGCAGAATACAAGGGCACCTGCGCTGTAGCTGGCTATGTGACAGTGACTGTCTCGCGCCCCTAGGTTACTATGCTGCTTGCTTCAGCTGCCTGTGTGTGTATGGCCATGTTCCCTCTGTACTCGCTCCCCTTCCACGTTCCCTGGATCAGGCAGGGCAAACAGCAAAGAGTGGCAGCGAGTAACTCGTGTGAAAAATGCAAGCGAGGAGCTCACTGAACCAAATCCAGTCCTTGCGTCAGTAGTTACCGCTCTTGCTCCCTTCAATAGAGGCTGTTTGCTTTGGCCCAGGCTGTCCTGTGTGTCTTTCCAGTGAACACTTCAGCCGTTACACGTGTCCTGTGAAATATGCTCCTGTATGGAGCGTTTTAAGGTGAAGCCTTTTCCTAAGGTGTACTGGTTCAGGTCCTAAGGTTTGCCAGCTGCCTTGATGCTTTGGTTTTGTATATTCACCAAAATACTAATTAAAAAGAAGTGGAAGTGAAATATTTTTCTTGTTCAAGATTGTGTGTTTGGGAAGGGGAAATTATGAAGGTTTATCTGGGGCAGCGCAAAGGCAGGTTTTAAAGCCCTGTAAGCCTGTCCTGAAGATCAGAGTGCACCACGGCAACTCACAGCGCTACAGAAACTTTGTACAGAAACTTTGAGGGCAAACAGCCTGGAGGAGAAAGAGGTCCCTGCAACCTAGAAGGGCTTTTCTGTATGAGGGTGCCTTCAGGAAGGAAAGTCCCCATGGATCAGCCACTCCACTGGTTCAGAGGGCTGGTGACCCTCTTGGAGAGCCTGAACTCTCAGCAGTTTCCATAAGGAAGGTAAGTCTTCAGCACTTTGTGAGACTGGACAACACACACAGACCATGGGGACTGTGTATGGAAGAGGTCTGGGCTTGATTTTTAATTATTCGTGTGTGTGTGTTGCTGAAAGCTACAATAAATCTAAAGCTACTTAAATCTAGGGAAATCTGAAGAGAAGCGGTGTCTGCCTAAATTAGGCAGCAAAAGCAAAGACTCTGTTCTGTGCTACCTACTGTGAACTGCAAATCCCTGCCAACCGCAACAGCAGGGAGGAGAGAAATGGGGGAGGAGGTGTGAGGGATAAGCTTGACCCCTCACTCTGCTTTGGTTCAGGCTGATAAAGGAGCCACAGGCTCTGTGGTGAACCTCTGAGCTGGAAAGCTGCTGGCTCACGTACCCGGGAGTGATGGTGCCGAGGAAAAATATTTCTAAAGGTTGTTTTGAAGCCCACAGATGCAAGATAACCAAAGTACAGAACAAGATACCAGAGCTAAAATGAATACCCAGCAGCCAAGTACTTCACTCTATAAATATTACCATCAGGATGAGCTCCCCTTGAGCAAGGACACCTCTCAAGGTTCGAGATACCTGAGACTGAGATCCTTCCTTGCCCAAGGCAGAGAGATCTCTAACTCGTGAACAGATGCTCAGTCACTGACTGATAGCACGCTGAATTAATACTAAATCCGTGTAGCTACTCAATTATTATAAACATTCTATAGACAATTCCATTAGATATAAACCCTTGTCCAAGTCTGAGACGAAGACTGGACCTAGCTGCAGGTACATGGGCTCCATAAGGAGTGTAGAAAGCAAAGGGGGCTGCTCTGAACCTCATGACTCAATGGGAGGGTCTTCCTTACACTTTTGCATCACCAGTCTTTGTGTGAATCATTCTAACTCGATTCTAAATCAATTTTCCTTTGTATGTTTCTTCCATGCAGTAATTAATAAGCTGTACCTTGCCATCACACTTACTGAACCTTGGCAAATCGCTGTTAAACTTTGTTTAATTTCACTGAATTTATTGAACTCCGTCAAATTATTATCTTACTTCAATAAAACATATTGCTACTTTTCTCTTTTGAGTGAGGTGCCTTCCACTCCTCTGTGACAGGAGGCTCAGTGCAGGCACACTGCCTCTGTCCTTGCTTGACCAAGCCCCTCCAATAACTCCGCAGTCATGGCAGCCTTCCGGGAGAGCTGCACACCTGAAGAAAGGGCTGTTGCTCAACTTATTGCTGAAAGCCAAGTGAAACAACTGGCTATAGGACTTTCTAGAGACTAGCAAGGCTTTTTGCATACAGATGTGGCTGGAGATATGGCCTGTCAGAATATTTTAGGACCACAGAAGCGGGCAATTTCAAATATTATTTTCCTCCTCTGGTCTTTTGCTTCAGACCCAGAGATCTCTTCCTTCTTGCTACATCTAAATATGGTGTGACTATAGCACTGCACTCAACGTAGGGAAAATGCTGCAGGATTTTGCAGAAGAGGAACTGAGACTACTTTGAATAGACTATTGGAGTATTAACTGCTCCAACCAGTTGCAAATGATACCATTGACCTATTGCATAAAGGAGAGTTTAAGCCAATTAAGTTTGAGTTCTTCTCATCTCCCTTCTGCTTCCTGAGCCTTTGCCTCACATGGCATGTTGTGATTTTTGTTTTGCAAAAATAAAAGCTGTGATGAACAGATGATCTGGACATCAGTGGATCTGTGCAGAAGTGCCAAGAATGCCACAGTGCAACCAGAAAATCCCAGCTTTATCCACCTGAACTAAGGAGGAAGAAGAAGACTGGACTGATGGCAGAATGATGTTGAGTAGGCTCGTGAAAACTCCTGCACAGATTTTTCTGGTTTTCAGTTCCTGAAGGTTGATTCCAATCTCTGCAAATTCCCTACCTGGGATGCCAGGGGAGGGTGAGGAAGGGATGGAGTCCGTGACAGGAATGGTGGTAAGTGGGTTCATGTGTTGGTTGAGGCTTGTAAAGAAACTCTGGTCATTCTCGGCTGTTTGGTTTGCTGCCCGAAGGTATGGATGTATATGGTCTTCAGAGCAGGAAATTTGCACAGATGCATGAAAACTGCTGGACTAAGACAGGATGAAGAAAAAATTCTCCAGGTGGAAGCTGTGTGGTTTGTTGCAGCTTTGCTCTGTGTATCTCTTCTCTGTAGGTGTGAATATTCACAGTTGTCTCCTGGCAAAGAAAAAACCGTCTTTCTATTCTCCCACGGAGTTACCAACTGTATTTTTAGATTATGAATTTATTGTAATATTCCCAGCTCTGAGAAATCCGAGCTCTCTGAGAAACATCCCCTGTTCATACTTGACAGAGCAGCACGGCCTCCAGGCCAGCACGAACCCCAAGCCCTCAGCTGCTCCCCTCCCGTACACACACACACGCGATGTCTGTCGCGTTGTTGAATGCTCAGGGGTGGCAGTGCTGAAAGTCTCTGTTCCTTCAGGCAACAGGGCCATGTGGGGATGCCTTTGTGCATTCTGTGCCTTGGCCCCGTTTTTTCCAACGGGCTTTCCTGCCCTTCCCTCCTTTCTCCTCACTCATTCTTCCGCACGAGACGTCTTCACGCAGGCACTCTCAGGCCCCATTTCTCCTCTCCGTGCCGTTCACCGGCGGCGTACAACGCCCGTTGCGTGCCGTGCTTGCATCTGGCTGCCCCCTCACTGCGAAAACCAGCGCCCGCTTGGCAGTGCCGTTTGCTATCCTGACGCAGAGGAGTTATTCCCCATCCTGCTCGCTGCTCCTGGTTTTTCACATTCCTTACGACAGGGACTCGTGCCAAGCAAATATTTATTGGGACCGAGTGTGACCTAAAACTATCTCATAAATGAAGCCTCCCTCTCCTACCCGTTGGCAGCCCTGCCCTCCTTGGCATCTGGGGAAAGCCTCTGCAACGTGTGGTATGCTGGGAACCTCCTGCAAGGACTCTCCCTCTAATCTCAGGTGTCTATCTTTAGGAGATCTGGCGTGAGGAGTTGAGGATGAGTGCTGAGGGTTCATCCTCAACAGCAAAAAAAAAACAAGGTGAGGGTGTTCCTGACTGTGTCAACTTGCACGCGAGGTGAAATTCCAGCGAAGGTGAGGTCATCTGCATTTCTTGCACATTCACTAGTTGAGATAAACTCTGCAAGAGGGCTAAGCAGTGATGAGCAGTGAGCTGCGCTGGCTACCCAGGGCTGTTACTGACTGAGTGAATGCAGGGCAGAAAACCTCTGTTTTCCAACTCAATGTCCACCTTTAGCAGGGTTCTGTGGCTGGCACGGAGGTTGGAGAAGGGAAAGCCAAGCCACTTCAAATAATCCCTGCAAATAACCAGACTAGTCTTTGTACATCTCTCTTCTGCCTCCGCTGTCTATTTCCTGGACTTTTCAGATAAGGGATTTAAATGATAGAGAGGTGCAGATGTGCACCTCCCTGTACCAG